ATACGTGGTTTCCACACTATATATATATATATATATATATATATATATATATATATATATATATATATATACATATATATATATATATATATACATATATATATATATATATATAATATATATATATATATATATATATATATATATATATATATATATATATATATATATATATTGTTAAATATTGTCAGACGACAGTTGTTTACTAATTTTGATTATATTGGAGATTGTAAATACATCAGAATGTTAAGTGGAAAAAAAGTTTTAACTATTCTTTAAATACTCAATGACTTTTCTGAAATAATACAAATACATAAAAAATAAAAACTTTGTTTTCCTATCCCAGTTTTTCCTTGAAGTTTACTTCAGTGTAACTCATAAAAAAATCTGTGACTTCCATGATAATATTAGGTCGTATTATTAACAACCTCAAAAACTTTAGAATTAATTTGACTACTACGCTTGTAATGGTAATTTTATCGCCAGCGCGAGTGTAACTTCCTCACTTTTGTCTTAGGGCGTTCATAACATGCACCCATAAATTTTTATCTGAAGCCATATTTCACTTCGTTTTATTCGTACTCGTTCGCCAAGTATATTAGTAAAATGTACTTTGGTAGATGGCTTAAATATTTAAATTATATTTTCTCTTTGAGTTTTTAATTAGTTATATTATAAAATTCTATTTGTGCACGTTTCACGCTAAACATTAATCGAGAGCATTATAAATAATAATATTATTGTTTACTTGTGAAAAATTTTGTTTACATACATAATTTTTAAATAATATACTTTCGTAAATTTTATACCGTGCTACAAAACTCCAGACTTAGTGGCAACAATTATTAAAAATTAATAATAATAATAATAAGTTAAGACAAGTCAAGACTATGTCGACAATATAGCGTCGAACTAATGGCTGACATCAGGAAAGATGTTTCCTGAAACAAAAGGTTCATTACTTTCCATTCAGGATCAGGTTATATCAACCAAAAATTACCTGAAATATATCATCAAAGACCCTCAGGTCCAAAAAAAACAAATGCCGATATGGATGTCAAGCCCAAGAAACTATCCAACATCTTACCGGAGGCTGCCAGGCATTTGCTGCAACTGAATATAAGAAAAAACATGACTCAGTAGATTCGCCAATGATGTACTTCTGATAGCAGCAAATATGGAACAACTACGAATAATAATTTCAGACCTAGAAAAAACATCTCTTGAGAAAAAAACTAAAAATGAATCTAAAGAAAACTAAAATAATGACTAATACAGAAGACACATCAGTAATTGCCATAGGTGGAACAAACACGTCCAAAAATATATTTACTGACAACATGCTATCAAAACAGACAAAAGTAACCAGACTAAAGAAATAACCAGAACAATAAGAATGGGATGAACTGCATTCGGAAAACTCTCATATACTATCAAAAACCAAAAAATTCCTTTAAAATTAAGAACCAAGGTATTTAATGCATGCGTCCTACCTGTTCTGATATATGGTGCACAGACATTGACATGTACCAAAAGCAACATAGATTTTGGGCTGTAGATAGATAGACAGATGACTCAGTAGGAAAGATCCTCCATCAAGAAATAGCTTTTAAACTGGGACTTCTACAAACAAACCATCTCCTATATTATCAATACGTTCCTGAGAGTAAGCTTGAGAATGACAATTACAAGCTATACTGGAATCGCACTGTGCTCACAGACCAAACTGTAGCATATAATAGACCAGATCTCGTGCTAGTAATAAGAAAATCAACTTTAATCAATGTGGAGATACCCAATAACAATAATTTGCGTGTTAAGTACAACGAAAAGATCGCCAAGTACAAAGATCTAGAAATACAAATAAAATGACATTGGAGAATGGAAAGTACCTACCCAGACAGTACCTACCAGACAGTTCTACCACTGGAGTTATTCCGAAGAACCTCCTAGGAAACATAAAAAATCTGGGTCTAAATGAACATTTAAACAAGATAATGCAGAAAGCTGTGCTACTTTCGACGTCCAGATGCGTGCGAATTTTTGGGAGATACACCGATGAACCAAGTCACCTAGGACTCGATAACATGGAAAGAGTCCCACCAGAGCTCCATCATTTTGATACCCTAGGTATCTGGAATGAGTGAATTTTCACCTAAGAGAGAGTGTGAGCCGTGTGGCTAAATCTGGATAATAATAATATTCTATTTATTCTATCTATTTATTTTTTATTATATCTATTTATTCTATCTACTACTGGTGTTATTCCCAAAAATCTCCTAGCGAACGTTAAACAGCTGTATCTAAATAAACATCACTATAAAGCCATACAGAAAGCTGTACTCCTCGCGACGTCCAGATGTGTACCAACATTTTTAACCAGACATGCGTATACGACGCAGTTGACGTCTCTGCTAGAGATGGCGGTTTTTGACCAAACACCGGTTTTCGGTTATACCGGTTTTTTTTGCTTACGGTTTAACCTGGCAGTTATAACCGGCCAAAAAAACCGGTTTTTGCAAAAACCGGTTTTCGGTTTTTTTAATCAAATAGATTAAAAAGTTACATTTACAATGCACTTTAGTTTGAGATACTACATTCGCAACACAATTTTTTGTGTTTTGTGAGAAAAAATTCCCCAGACTCTTTCAAATGGGGTTTAAAGAAAATAATATCAACATAAATATTTTACTTAAAAATAAATTAAATTATGCAATTCATCTTTTATTTTTACAACCATCAAAAAAAATTTATCATGTATTACTTTTAACTCATTTACGACTTCCGGTATGGGTATAAATCGTTTTGAAAACGTAGGAAAATCCTTGTAGATTCGTATTCGTAATCAGTTTTTCAAAATTCACAGTCATTATTTTTGGTAATCAGAAAAAGCCATTCACCCACTTTCAATGTCAAGAGTCAAATAACCTTAATAAATACCAGATCACTTCTTATGTAAAAATATTATGATTACAAATACTTTTTCAACGAAATACTATAATAAAATTTAATTGTTTCTGGCTAATGTGAGCTTCTGCTTCTGTATTAAATAAAATAAAAATTGAATTTTAGTTTTGTTTGGAATAATTACTTGAGAATAATAGTTATGATTGGGTGGGATCCAAAATAATACCTAACCTAATCCTAATCACTGTAAAAACCTAATAACCGGTTTTTACTTTAAAAATAAAAAAACGGTTATAACCGGGACAAAAAAACAACCGATAAAACCGGTTATTTCGAAGTAAAAAAACCGGTTTTCGGTTAAAACCGGTAGGTTTTTCCCATCCCTAGTCTCTGAAATAAAACTTGTACTAAGAACAAAGCCTCTCTAGTACCAACAGCATTTGTGAACCCGAACTGGTTGGGGACATTTTACTTTCACAGAGCTTGTAGATTCTCTTTTGAATTATCTTTAGGAACAATTTTAGAAAATGACTCATAAGGCCTATAGTACGGTAATTTTCGCATTTTTTTGGCTCCTGGTTTTTTGGAAGTGCAATAAACTCAGATTGCAGCGATTCTGTTGGTATTTTTCCAGAGTTGTATAAGTTGTTTAATATCTTTGCGATTATTGCTGTTGATTCGTTGTCCATTAGTTTGGGTAGTTCTGCTTGTATATTATCAGAGATTGCCGCTTTGCCATTCTTAAACTGTGTTATTGCGGAATAAAATTACTGCTGTAATATTCCTGATCCATCATTTACCTCTTCTTCTAGCTCAAAGATGTTATCTCTTTGGTCTTCAAATAGTTTTTCTAGATATTCTTTCCACGTTCTTATTTTACTATGTTTGTCCAAGATTGTTTCCGTCAGAATCAGTTATTTCCTTTCTGCTTTCGTCTTAGTCCTCCGATGAGTTTTTTAACTGTCCTATGTACATTGTGACTATCGTACTTTGACTACAGAGTTTCAATTTCTTCGCATCTTTCCCTTGCTTCATTTTTGGCTTCTCTTCTCTCGTCCATTAGTTTTAGGATCTCATCTGTCATCCATGATTTTTTCTTCATTAATCTATCTATCTTTAAGTGTTTATTCTTTACATTTTGCACTATTTCTTCAATTTTTTTGATCGTTTGTTCTTCGTTCGATTCGTTTCTAATTGCAGTCACTTGCTTATTTAACGTGGCTTGGACTCTCATCTTCATATCAAGGTCTTTCAGTATGCCTGGTCGTATGATTGTGCTTTTCTTTTCTGCACTGTTTTGAGCTTGACTCGAAATACTCCCATTAAATAAGTCTTAATAGATGCAAAGCTGTTTCGAAATCTTTTATTTACTTAAATGTAGTCTTTTTGATTTCTAATAATTCTCCCGGGTCTGCCTTGACTGGATTTTCACGTGTACAGCTTGCGAGGTATTAAATGGATGAATGTGTTGGTGACAACTTGTTCTAAGTCTTCTGCGAATTTATCTAGGAGGTCTCCTCTCTCTTTGCTGACTTCAAGTCCATGATCTCCATTGTACTGTGTTTTATCTCCAGCTCCAATCTTGGCATTAAAATTGTCCATATTAATGAGAACTTCCTGTCGAGAAATTTTCTGTATGATACTGTTGATATTCTGATAGAACTTAATTGGCTTCTTTCTCCTCTTTGTCTGCAGTGAGAGCATAGACTTGGATGATATTTATATTAATAGGGTTAACTTCTACTTGTAATAACATCACTCTCTCTGAATAATAATGAATAATGAATATTAATGAGTTCAATATTTTATTATTTTTGTATTAACAATCTGATTTCCTGAAATTTTTATAATTTTTATTTGCGACATTTTTCAATATTAAAAAAGGTATCATCAAATTAATATAATATGACAAATTCACAAATGACGTAATTTAACTACAAAAAAAAAAACTTGTACTTAAGTTGCTTAAGTTTGTAGGTCTGTAAAGTTTAATAAATTCTCACACCAACTTGTTCAGATTCCATTTTAAAAGACGCAGCTTTTCACTTTATACGTATATCCCCTTCAATTCCCATTTAATACATGTTACGTACCTTTTTATATATTGCCATCACTCTATCCATTGTGCTACTCTACATTCACTCCAAAAAAGGGGATTGAATTTGAGAAATTTAACATATTTCCTGACGCAACGTTTATTTCATTGAAAAAGTCGAAGAGAGTTCTATTTTTATTGAAATATATAGTGCATATACACATATAGAGGTATGATAACAGCAAACATAAAAATAAAAAAAAAACTGGTAGTATTAGATTTTAGCACATACATTTTTTTCAGTCAATAATATACTGACATTTTTTAAAATTTATTTTTTTTTCTTCAGTACGTGCCGATTATTTACAGAATGTTGACGTCTACCAAGTTTTTGGGAATCTGTGATCTTTTTTCATTAAATAATTACATTACGGCTTGACATATAGGCTTATTTGTACTTTTCAATTGGTTAATTACTATTAAACTGGGAATATGCCACAATTAAAGATAAAAATACGTTTATTGACGTTTCAATTTCCACTTCAGAAATCGTTCTATTTTGAGAACGATTTCCGAAGTGGAAATTGAAACGTCAATAAACGTATTTTTATCTTTAATTGTGGTTTATTCCCAGTTTAATAGTAATTAATTTACAATGCCACAAGAAAATAGCTTCAGAACAATATTTCAATTGGTTGCTATTTTAATTTATTTACAATTTATCAAAATTCGTGTTAAAATTCGACTTAAATAATTTGTTCATATATTTATTCTAAATTAGAAAAAAAAATGAGAAACATTTACTAGGTCCAAAAGTTTTTCTAATACTGTTTTTTAAATCTGTTCTGCTGCAAAATGGTTAACAAACATAATAGCTTAAGATCCCACTGCAGGTTCACTACGTTTATAACGTAGTTAATCAAACTCACATTTACTCACATAAATCTAAGAATAGAAGAATACATTGATAAAAGATTGCCAGCCAAAAAGTGGCAGCAATAGTACATTGTTTACCGGGTAGGAAAAGCTTAACGTTCCTGGACGACTGTGAAGATTGCTAAGTCGAGGCGCAAGCCGAGACTTAGCAACACAGAGTCCAGGAATGTTGCTTCTCCTACGAGGTAAACATACTATTTTTCCGCAAATCGTTTAAAATTCCTACAGATATTGATTGATTTAAAAAAAAAAACGCGATAATTTTATTCCCAAATAAATGGTGCTTTGAAATTCCCAATAAAATTACTTGGGTTACTATGGAAACGTATTAAGGTTGAATTGTCAAACTTGACGCTTATAAATTTAATTGCTGGTGTTCTCGAAAGTAAAATGATAAGTGATGATGAAATTTCCATTAAAAATGTATTCCGCAATGACTTAATGTTTTCAAAATATAAATTAATTCCTTATAAGCAATGTGTTTTCTATCATTTATGTAGAACACTAACAACTGTACGGAAATATCATTTCCTTACAGTAAGGAAGTCCTGACTTTTTCTTCAAGAAATTTTGACAGGAATGTCAAAATTTCCTGGCGATTTGCGGAAAATATTTTTAAACAAATTATTGGTAATTAATTTTTGACAACAATTTTATTTCAATCATTTATTTTTTAAATAAAATACCCTGCACATTAAGCAATATGTATGTTTTTTATATCAAATTAATGCTAATTTTTTTCTTAATATGTATATGTATATATTGTATTTATGTATTCTACTAATGACACAGTGACAATTCTTTCCTGTTTCTACAATTTTTATTTTGAAGTGAATACTTCTTATCGCTCGATATGTTTTGACGGAACCAAAATCCTATTTAAGCCTGTCCCGACAAATTTAATAGAGACGAATGAAGTAATCTTGCGGTATATCGTAGTTAAACAGAAAACACAAATAATATGTAGTTATTATATACTTATTATAATTTTATATATTATATTTTTAAAATATTTGTAAGAAAGAAAATAAAATAAAACAAATTAAATAAAATTGTAATAATAATAATAAATTAAAAAAAAATATTAATAATTATAAAAAATTATTAAAAAATTTATAAAAAGTTATAAAAAAATAATTAATTAAATATAATTAAAATTATAAATATGGGACAAGAAATCACCTCTCCTTTTCAAACAACAAAGGCACTAAGGCAAGGCTGCTGTTTGTCACCCACCTTATTTGGACAGATCCCTAGTAAAATGGGAAAAAAATGTAGAAACATGTGAATAACGGTGGAAGAAAACACGCTATATACACTTTTCTTTGCGGATGACCAGATAGTAGACCAGATTTTTGGCAAAGTAACGTAAGTGACATTTTTGGCGAAAATCATGTTTTTCAATTAAACTAACAATATTATTGTTAAAAAGGTACTGCCAAAGTGTAGTAAGCCTAGAATTAATTTAAACCTTTGTTAGGACCAGTGGGAGAAGTTTTTTCAGTCATAATTTAAATAAGTTTAACCAGGTTGAATTAAAAAATTGTTCTTTCTACAAATAGTTTTTGGTGACTTACGTTACTTTGCCAAAAATGTATCGATATGGTAAGAAAACTGCAAGAAGAATATGAGGTAGCAGATCTAAACATGAATATGACAAAATGTGAATATCTCTCAGTGGGAACAGATAAAATATGTGACCTAGTCTTGGAAGACGACAAAATCAAAGGCGTACAATTCTGCAAATATTAGGGGGCCATTTTTAACAAGAAGGGAAATATCGCAGATGAAATTAGAGAAAGAATAAACAAAGGCAGAGCAGCGACCCATACATTAAACTCTCTTCTCTGGCAAAAAACAATTTTACGAGAAACCAAAAAAACACATTTACGGTAGTATAGTCCAAAGAATTACTCTTTATCGTTCGAAAGTATGGGACGTCACCAAAGCTAATAGAGACAAACTTATGACGACAGAAATGAATTATCTAAGACGAATCTGCGGTAAATCTAAACTGGGGAGAGTTAGAAATAAACAAATAAGAAACGAAATGAAAATGGAGCGAAATATTAATGATGACATAGAAAGAAAACAATTAATCTGGTTCGGACACGTTAAAAGAATTCCAGAGTACAGATGGCCTAGAAGAGTACTGAAATGGACCCCTGCTACAAACGATATTGATGAAGCAATATGATGGCGGCAAGAGACCTAGAAGAGGCCTAGAACTGCATATGACAGAAAAAGATGGGAATTGGGGGCGGAGAAGCGGCGACAGCCGTAATCAATCCGTTATTATATATATATATATATATATATATATAATATATATATATATATATATATATATATATATATATATATATATATATAAAATAATAAAATATCATAAAAATTAAATAGAATTAAATAGTATATAAATTTAAATTAAATAAAAAACTAAATTAAATGCAAATTAAACATAAACTATAAACTTAAATAAAATAAAATCAAATAAAATTGAATAAAAGTAAGGAAAATTAAATAAAATTAAATAAAATTAATTAAAATAAACAAAAAAATATTTTAGAGATTTTATAGTCGTTTTTAGATAAGCATTCACAAATAAAATGATTTCAGTGTAAATTAATTAATATATAATAATAATATAACTTAAATATGTAGTTTTATTATAAAAATTTTAACGATTTAGTAATAAACGTACATCAAATGTCATTACTCTGCACAGATACAGTAATAAGACGCTATAAGGAGTATTCACTTTTATCGGAACTCCCACAGCCACCTTTACTTCCAAGCCATGAAGTAGAAATTTGGCAACAACGCGTGGTAGTCCGACTTTGGTTTGTTTTGGTTTAACATTTCATATAGGAAGGCTTGTAAATTTTGTTGAATTTATTGTTTTTTAACTTTATTCGAATGTTTTATTTGTAAATTGTGTTTAAATCAATTAGACAATATTAATATAAGTAAAATTTCATTAAATTTAGAACTTTTAAAAGATTTTTAACGACAATTTAAAAGGCAAGTATAAATATACCCTACAAAACAAACTGAAAATAATAATACTTTTGCTTCTTGTTACAAAATATGTAAACTAAAAACAACAATAATAATACTTTTGTTTTTTGTTACAGATGCTCTGGCATTGTTGTGTACCTGGTTGCAAAACCAATTATGCCAGTACTTTAAAAACAAAACAGGCAGAAAGTATGTTTTTGTTTCCCAAAGATCCCCAAAGAAGGTATACTGGGTTATGCTCTATTCAGATAGAAGGCTGTACAATTACCAAATCTTCCGTGGTATGTGCCAAACATTTTCATGAAGATGATATTCAGCGGACTGAACAATGAGAAGATAAAGATGGAAATGTACACATTGAAAAGTTAATATTTCCAAAATTAAAAGGCAATGCAGTTCCTAATATATTTCCCGAAGTACCATCATATGTAACTGTTCATCGTACTAAAGAAAGAAGGAATCCTGAAGACAGAAGAAACTTTTTGCATACGAAGAGGGAACAAGAGATAACATAATTATGTCAATTAGACTTGACAATAATATCCCATTGAAAAACTGGACAAGTAAAATTACAAGTGACTGTATATTTCTATGTATTAAACATTAATCAGTTTGGACACAAGCGTGATAATATTTGTGTAATATGTAGTGTAATAGTTAGCAGTAATTTTAGTGTAATCGTCAATGTAGGTAAGAATAGATTAAGTGGTAATGATTTGAAATGGATTTTACAATATAGGTAATTAACAAGATGGTCACAATTAGAGAACTTACTTTCTCATTTAGATTTGCTTTTTAGATAAGTGATAACAAATTTGAGTATTACATTCAAAAATCTTTTGAGAATATACGCTATTTTAAATCGATATACAAGTTATAAATGGTATGTTACATTCAACACATTTTTCATGTATACCTCTTTTAACTTGGTCTATATGACAGCAAACCTATTCATATTTAAAATTGCTACTTTTGTATATCTAAGTATGAAAATTCAACAAAAGTTATAAGTAAATAGTAAAATATTTAATTTTCAATTAGATTAATTTAGATCCATATTTATATTGTGTCTGATTTCTTAGGATGAATTTTTTAATCATAATAGTTACACTAAGTTTTTACTTAGCACAA